GCAATATAACATAAAATGAAAAGTTGAGTAAACTTGTCCACAAGAGTTGCATAAATTATTATTAACAATTTGCCATTTATATAAGTTTTCTTTTGAGGCAATAAACTTATGAATCATCTTGAAATTACGTTGTTTAACTTTATTATTACGAATTTGCTTTAATTTAAATAAAAATACATCGTTCCAAAAAAAGTCATTATCCAAATCTAAAAAGAAATTCCAAAAGTAAATGATATTTGGTTCTTTTGACTTATTACGTAATAACAAACGATAGTAGCCTTTCACTTTCATAACAAAAACATTCACTTTATCCCCTGTTTCTATTTCTATCATATTCGAAATATTACATTCTTGTTCAAATTCATAACTTAAGCTATCCAACCAACACTGTGGAAATGCTTTCTTTAATTTTGTATATTTAAAATCAAATAAGAGCTGTTGGGCTTTCACTTTGTATTTAGTATTGTAGAATCATTCCAAATACCATTTGTAATCAAATTATGAATTTTCATTAAAACCGGCCTCTTGCCATTCTCGATAAAACAGTATTTTGTTTTGAAAGGTAATGTTACTATTTTTCCAAATAATTTCATTTGGAATATTTCTTAGTTTAAACATATCAATGAATTTTAGTTCTGACCAAGTACAAAAGAGATCTACATAGAATTCTGGCAAATTATGTTTAGAGAATAATAAATTAATATCCTTTATGTTACAATTGAAATGTAAACATAGTGGCAAACCCCCTATTTTGTCGGACCAGTATTTAAACATAATTTCCCAATAAGAGCCATTATCATAAAAAAAAACGAGATATCCATGCCAAACGAAGTGAAGATATTTTACTAGCAATATCAATCATATTCAATCCACCATTTTCAACATCAATTATAATTACATTACGTTAAATTTTATCTTTTTTGGCGTTCCATAAGAAACGAAAGTCTGTTCAATGTCTGTGAAACATGTTTTGGTACTGGTACAAAAGTTGCGGTATATACAATTTGTGACGCCGCTAACATTTTCAAAACAATTATTCTGCCATAAAACGTAAGATCTCTCATGTTCCACACATTTAATACATTAATACAGTTGTTATGTATATGAAAACGTATCTGTTCATGGTCTGTGCCATTTCTCTCCAAGATTTATTTCAATCTTTTGTCATTCTTTTCCTCTTATTATTCTGCTTTCATACACATGACAAGGGTCGGATTGCCCGTAATAGGGCCTACTCATACAGCATTCTATGTATAACGAATGCATAAGGCATACAAGGCATATACTTGATACTTGATGAGGTAATCCATGAAGCAGCTTTTCCAAGCTATACTTGGATGGGATGCGTTGTGACAGCAGGTGAAGGTGCAGACAACAAAAGGGTGTACAATTTATACAGTAAAATAGTGACGTGCAAGTAAAAAAAATCATGCTGCTATATGGTTTACAGCATTCTGGAACCTACAGGAGGTTCCAACCCTCTGATGACAGGGAGGGCGGTCATCTGGAAAGCAGCAACTGTTGGGGCAGTAACTGCAGTGAATGGTAGTTGATTCCAGATGCGAATGGTGCGGGGGTAAAATGAGTACTTATAGGAGTCTATTGTTGCCTCAGGAACAGAGAGCTTGAGTGTGTGGTCTCTTCTGCTGATGTATGTAGCTTTGGTTTATACGAGGTGAGGAAGATACATGTATTTATCGAAAGCCCCACTTTATTTGGCAAGACATTTCCTTGCCTTTCGAGCCATGCCGACAAGGCAGGGGCACAGCAAAAACAAACAATACTCCCTTTCAATGAATGCACTGCTTGTTCCATTTTCCAAAATACATGTTAAGCAATTACCAACATTTCCTCCTTTAATACTTCTGTTTTGTAGAATGGAGAAAGCCACCTTATTAAGGTCCACTAATTGCTTGTGATATTTTAACAACAAATAGCTAAACAACTAATAGTGTGACAACAAACACATTCCCTCTCTATTTATCTCTCTCTATCTCTCCTTCAGTTACTATATTCTTTCCTATCTCTCTTTACCATTCATTCTCTCTCTAAAAAAAAGCATATCATGATCCACTTAAACAGAATGATGAAAGATTTTAAATTACACAATCTTATCATTTATCCATATCGAATATCAAATAAAACAATAACCCAGTTTTTTTTTCAAAAAAAGATTTACAGTGAAATGCAGTCATTTACCTGAACAGGTCTGTATGAAAAACAAAAGGTCAGGTATATGTACCAATATTACCACTGCTTTTAAAATTTATGGAGAGGAAAGGGAGGAAATGGAAGGAAGGATTTGGGGAAAGAATAACAGTAAAAAAGATTGTAATGGATTCAGGTAACACATTATAATACTTATTTCTATTATGCACCTTGAGGAAATACATCTTCATGTGACATTTAAGCTTATGTTTTGTCACGATACTTAAAAAAGCTGTGTTCACAAACGTGCCAAACCATTGTCAACTCTCTAAGATCCTAAACAAGCTCTGTGTAACTGCAGTGAGCAACTACATTACATGTGTATGTGGAGTTTTTTCTTCAGGAATCCACACTTTACATTAAATTCATAAATGCAAATTTTCTTCTCTCTAAAGTTAAATGTTAAATGACTTGTTAACTTTTGGAGGAAAAGAAAGATAACAATACCATGCAGGGTTGAATTTTGACAGTTTTGAAAAAGAGGGTCGGAATATATAAATATACTTTTTTTTTTCCTGTTTCCTGCAGTTTACAAAACAACCATGATTATTTCCATTCAGCTATACAGTGTGTTCTATTTCCCTCCAAAGACTCCGCCCACTTCGTCGTCTTCTCGTACTCCCATGCTCTGTAGAGGGCAAAAAACAAAGAAACAAGCAATGAAAAAATAGATTTGAGGAGTAAATAGCAGGTGATATCATAAAATACAACATATTGACACTCTCATCGGTTTTGAGCTTAAGCGTCATGGTCAACCTTTAAAATTTATTGCTTATGAAAGAATTGGTGCATTCCCTGATTTGTGGAAAGCATGTACATGAAAAATTACTAGATACATACAAGTGGCGTATAAGACAAGAATAACCGACAATTGAACCCCAGGAGTTCTATCGCCCAACTTTTCATCTCTCATTACCAACCCCTGCCCCCTCCAAAAAGTATCCCCCAAATCTCTCCCCCCCCCCTACCCCCCACTTAATGATTGCTCATACCCTTTCTGAAAGTTATCAAAGGTTTTACAAAACTGACACCCTATAAAAACCACCCGCCCACCAGACCAACATCTTACCAGCTGTCAGTCTCATGGCCCTTTGGTCTACTAGGATGTCCCAACTGGGATCACAAGTGATCGAGGGACTGCCTATGGCCAGTGGCAATATCATCGCTCTCTGAGGGTCATATCCTTTCATTTCATGTTACCGACCACAGCACATGTTTTAGTATCTTTTTTTTTGCATCAATGACTGCCCCTCTTTCGTTTGGAACTTTAGATCAGCAGGAAAAAAAAACAAGGATAAAGATTTTTTTTCATGTGAATCATGCATAGATATCCAAAATCTCTTTTTTTCATTATTGACAGCCCTACTATTGCTTGGATCATATGAAAAAACCTCAATGATAACGATACATTTTGATGCGAATCATGCATAGATATCCAAGATACTCGATAACTTATGCAACACAAGAAGACCAAAGTCCTTGGACTTCCCATTAAATGAAATAGTTGTTTCATGTCTCACCTTTTGAACATATTGTGGATTAACAGCTATTTCTTGATCCATGCTCTTTAGCTTCTCATCTAGACTGATACAATGCTGCATTTTTTAGGAAAAAATGGTAATTCAAAATCAAAACATGACAGAGTTTAAAATGCATTATCATGGATTTGAAAAACCACTTTAACTCAAAGTCCCTCATTGCCCAGGTCTCAGTCCCCCTAACAAGTACAGATGAAAAGGGGAAATCATGTTGTGTCAGTATTCAAAAGGAAATATATTGTTTTCGTTTACTGATCTTTTGAAAATTTACAAGTTTAAGTGCTGTCTAGAAACAGAAATGTACATCTCTCGCAAGTATGCTTTGTGATTCTTCAAACATGAAGTTCATTTTTTATATTTTATACAAAATGAACTTGAATCAACACTCTTCATGAACACTAATTATTAGTAGTATTTCTGAATAGCCTTATCCTTGTAAAAGAAATATAAAAATGCACAAATAATCTGCCTGTGCACCTTGCGTTCATCATGGGATAAAAAAAAGGCTTCAACATTATGTAACCGTTTCCAGTACAAGATCCGTCTATACCCATGCTAAAAAGGGTTGCCACGGAGGTAATCAACACCCGAAGTGGGATTTTGCAAAGCCATAAATTGTGTTGCACAATCCTTCCATCAAACAAGTGCAAAATTGCACGTGTGGCAAATCAGTGATGCGCAGAAAGGTAACATAGTGATACAAATCTGATGAAGGATATGTGTGGTGGGGAAGATGATATCTAAATGCCTTTACATGAACATCAAACTGATAACATTATTTCCTAACTTGCTTACATTTGTGAGAATAAAATTGCATCAACATTCTCATCAAAATACTAGCTTAATAACCAAGAAATTATGACAAATTACAGGAGTTGTTCCAACTTTTAAAAAAAAATTGTCAACAGTGAATTCTTTATTTGTTTTGAAGTTGGATTGTGTTTTGAAGGATATAAATACTATATTAAATACATTTTGCAACATTACACTTTTGACTGGGTGTTTAAACTCGGGTCTACTACATATTCCATGATTACATAATCATTACAAATGGGGCATCATTGTACATGTAAATAAGAATAAACAGGCACAATAAATGACAGCAACGTCAAGTATGATACTAGTAACAAGAGATATATTAACGCTCAAACATGTATGCAGAATTTATTTTGAGGAGTTATTGAAAAAATACTCTAATATAAGCCTACAGCTACAAATGTTGCATCCAGAATAGGTGAAGAAAACTTGACTAACCTGTTGCTCGACGTGTCTGAGTACTGCAGGGTTGTCATATTTTTCTGGGTTGTCATGGAAATGGACCATTCCATTCTGTTTGCTGATAGTTGCATGAATCTCACCATCTTCAATCTGAAATATATTAATCATATTTGTTTATTACAATTCAAAGTACAAACACATCTCTTTGTAGCACCATTAATTTCAACCCCCCCCCCCAAAAAAAAAAAAAAAAAAAAAAAAAAATTGCCAGTGTAATTTACATTCCATTAAAATCAAAATCGATCTCCATTATAAATTTATATTAAAATTCAAATTTCAAGTTTAATTATTTCATAACCATTTCATCAGATGATAATCTTTTGTAAGTCTTCAGGCAGGTACATGTACATCTTAATCTATCTTCAATTCGATCCCTAGACCAAATTCCAATTCTAGAGCAATGCATATTGCAAAGGGCTCCGTAACCACTCTACAAAACCTCTCAAAATGTTTTCAGTCATCGAAATAAAAATGAGAAGACAAAATGAATGAAAAACGGCTTTTAATGATTGTTACAAAATTAAAGTTCTTTTAAAGTGGCAAATGTAACCTTATAGACCCCATTTTCATTTCATTTCTCTGTACCCTTTTTCAATTTATCCCACATAAAACGTAACTCTTTACCATATTTCTGACATACTGCTCAGCCTCTTGCGGTGCATGTAGATGAACTCTCCTGGCGATGTCACTCAGAGATAACGTTAGGAAGGTCTGAAGAGAAACATCAATACTGACAATGAACATCCTCTACTGTACAACTTAATCCTCACATCAACTTCACTAGTATGTCGCCCTCTTGTGTGGCAATTTAACTCAACTGCATTGCGTGCCTTAAACCTTCGTATGGCTACAAAGTTCACAAACATCTATCATATTTGTACATGTATGTGGAAGGTTTTGTGAAGACAATTGCTCAAATTATGATTCTTTTCTTTCAAGTGTAATCTCAAAATTAAAGAAGGCAACTTTTCATGATTACAAAATTATTGATATTGAGTCTTGGAAGTACACTGATATGAAGGCCTGATATGAAGGAATTCAGGTTAAAAGAAGTGCGTTTTTCACCACAGACCTATTGATACACTACACATGATTCATAGGGCCTGACTGCGCTGTCAATCTGCTTATTACAACAAAGAAGGTGTGGAAGGAGTCCTTGTTTTCACGAAGTGACGGTAGTGAGGAAAATCATAACGCAAAGTGAAATGCAATTTTTTTTCACTACCGTCACTTCGTGAAAACAGCGACGGATCATTGGATTACCATCTGACCATCTGGATGTACAAGGCCATTATGATCCAATGAGGAGAGAGAAAGATAGATAGAGAGAGAGAGAGATAGATTGAGAGATTGTGTGTTTGTTTGTGTGTGGAAGTGGAGGTGGGGGGATCGTACCATCTTCTTTTCATGTTGCCTTTGCCTTTGCCTTTCTTTCTCTAGTTTTTCTCTTTTATTTATTGTTTTTCTTCATTTTTCCCTGCCTTGTCATTTAGCATTAGTCCGGCAGCCCGGCCCGGCAGCCACTGAGCTACACCTCGTTTTGTTGAAATAAGTTTTTTTTCTTGATAGATTCTGTTTATTTAGGCATTGCAGATGACCAAACAGAAAACTGGAGCTTTGTCAGTGTTAAGCAATTTAAGATATGGCCAAAAACAAAATGGCCGCCAAAATAGCCTATTTTCAGTAAATTTTGAATTATTTCATAATACATTACAAAATATTGGCAGAATGGTGTGCTTATAATTTATGAAGACCATTGTCAACACATTCCTGATGACCAAACATGAACATAGATGACCATATATGACCTAATTAGCATATTTTCCATTGTAATTGTTGCTAGTTTGCATATTCAAAATGGCGGATAAATGCCAGCTGTTAAGTTTAGAATCACAATAATATAGTATTATACTCATTTCTTTCTATCATATGTTTTTAATTCTTAGAATACCCAAGTGTACCAAATACTTATGTCATACTCATTTGTCAATAATTACTAATTTAGATAATGGGAAAAAAACAAAATGGCCACCAAAATGATAAATTTTAAGCAACATTTGCCATAAGTATTATACATTACGGAAATTGGCAGAGTAGTATACTGGTACTTCATGAATCAGAGATGAATTGTTTTGGATATTTGACTTTAGGCTGTTGTATGTTTGCTCATTTACATATTTAAAATGGCGGCAATATTAGTTTATCACACAATTTCTATCAATAGTCTATAGTAATAAACATTTGTTTTCACAATAGGTTTGAATTCTGAAGATACCATTTCGTGAAAAATGCCTATTTGATCACTCTTCTTTCGTGAATGTGTTACCATTTTATAGCAATATTAGGAATTTTACCTTCACAATTCATCTTGTACGCAATTCTTTTAAGGATACGCCTTTTCTTCCTTTGCTGAACTGAGCTCACGCATCACTGTCATTTTTATTTACATTTTTTTACTGCCAGAGTCTGATCATTTAGACATCGCACGGATGCATGGCACGCACAGAACATTGTGCAAGCTAATTTGGCTTTGTTGCATCCACATCCTGAAGATTTGCATTGGTTGTCACTTGCACAATTGCAACGTAAAAGTCTCAGTATGTTTGCAGGTGCAAGTTTCACATTTGGTGGAATGGTTACCGGGATGAGTGACTTTGTTGCTTCGTCTTTCATGTAACCAAATGCAGTGGGATCCAATGTCCATGGATTCAATTCCGAAGCACTCTTACAAATCCATGTTTGAAGATGGGCACGCTTAACATTATCTTTGACAGCTTCAGCTGTTGGTGGCATTGCAGCAAGATTTGGAGTGTGGTAGCTCCTGCTTTCCCGACCCGTGTAGTCCACACATTCAGTCGGGCATCTGACAGTGTCGTAGCATTGGGTTGTCCATATCATGATGTTATGAGCGCTGTTGCATCTTTCACCACGTCGGCCATATCTGCATGTATGTCTCCAATCGATGGCGATGGGAACCCATTTTTCTGCCGCAGCATCTTTAGCAAAGTTCCTTTGCCAACTCCAAAATGTGCACCAACAGTATCACAACCTGTCAATGGGTGACCTGCTAACATAAAAGGGATGATGTCTCTGTGTCTGTCCACTGTGGGATGTATATCGATTACAGATCTGTCTCTGATGGGCGACTCCATTATCAAGGGTGACTGAAGGCCTTGCTTTTGGTAGAAATATGAAGCAGAAGAACATAGACATCTGTGTCGTCTGCAAGCACCTGATGGATCGTCCTTCATCTGCAAGGATAATAGCCTGCTGCACAATAATCACATCAGCCTCCTCATGAGATGTGACCATATCGCGCCGTTGGATTGGAACACCACCTGGACCTAGTTGAACAGGAGTGCCATCTTGGCTGGTGATCACAAGCTTGTGTTTTATGATGAAACCTGCATCGCCTTGCAGATGTTGACAAATGATGTTAATCAACTGTTTCTTGTTCTCTGTGACTGTCAGAGTCAGTTTCTGAGTCGGAAGGGGTGAAGTTGGACTCAGTTGGAAAACTCTGCAGCCATCATTGCCTCTCGACATCCTGGGCCCCGTTGCATAAAACTTTTTCTTACCATAATTGAAACTATAGTAGCTACCATGGTTGTACACTTGATACTGTAATCATTGACCTTTCAAAGACCAAGTACACATCACCGGATGTTAGTCTCTCTTCAATCTTGCCTTTGAATTTCGATACAAAGTCCATCACTGTTGGTTGTCGTGTTGGTGATGATGAAGGCCAATTATGAATCCAAAGGAGAGCACATCCATCGATCACTCTACACGTTTCTTCAAGTGTCGCGTGTCTAGCTGATACTTCAACCTTTGTCTCTGGTTCTTCAAAGCGGCCTTGGACTTCGAGATGTCCATATCTCCAGACTCATCAAACAGAGCTGTATGAACTGGCGACAGCTCGCATGACATTACATCATGAAATTCGACATCTCTGGAACTTGCTTGTAGACCTATCACGCGAGAGTATATCAACTTGGTATCGTATACCTTGGAATCGCCTACGTCAATTCTGACAATTGATTTCTTCATGACAGCCATGGTTTGAACTTTCTTCGAAATTGTGTCGTAGAAACCTCCAGGCAATTTCCGTTCAAATTCACCCATTTGCTGAGCACCAGTTTCAACTACTCTGTCAACATTCACTGATTCAGGAGCGATCTGTCCATTGACCACGTTGACAATGTTCGCTGGGTGCTTCTTTGGGTCCATTGGATCGATGCTCACATCCAGTTTTCTGCGCAACCAGTCTCTATCACCTTGGTCTGCAGATATCCTTGCTGGAGCCTCTTCTTTGTGCACTGTTTTAGAACTATCCGACTTAATTGTCTCTCATAGTTGGAACGTCTTCCACAAATCTGATACATATGTGCAAGCTAAGGGCCCATGCAGGTCTTGAGAGTTTCTGGCTTTGAGTGATGCCAATCACACCAGCTTTACCATGCCCATGTCGCTCCATATGCCATTCCATAAGCCTTGAGTGTGTCTCATCACATGAGACCCTTTCATGGAATACTGGAGTGCATCTCCTGGTAGGGCTTCCATGCGTCGAAGGTAGAATAACCGATATCGCGCGTAGTTTACATGTCCCGACGCAAAGAAGCAGGGCATCATAAGCCTCACTGCCTCAAGGTGTAGAGGCCAATCACTTTAATTCTCGTTCAGCCCGTACATAGATCATCATTATCAGTACTGGTTTGATCAGGTTGTACCTCTACTGCAACCCTGAACAGTTATTGATCTGCAGTGAAGACAGTGAAACATTGACCAGTTTTCTCTGTTTAACTGCTGTGATTTGCTCATGGCTGTCATTATTGTGTCTGGATGTGCTGGTGGCATATCAATCAACGATGGATACACTGCTTTAGTTTTTGGTTGTGTGGCTTCTCCTTGATTGCGACACAAATGCGTATTATATCCATTGAATTCAGGACAGTTATCACGCTGCACAACATCTGCCAAGAACCTGAGGTCACATTCATTACGTCTCTATCGAGAAACCATATGAGCGAGAACACTAAGTGGTGGAACTTGGTTCTTGACAGGTGGCATATCTGGTTTTCTTGGACCATTGTATCTCATGATGTCAAGCTTGTAGTCAATATCTCTAGACATCTCAGCCTTCTTCAGTTGTGAAATCTCTTGCTGATTATCATGGTGCATGCTTGTATCTGGCTGGGTCATGAGAACTGCAAGGGAAGTTGTCAACTATGATCTGAACAAGACCATCTTCAGCACTTGATAATGCTGTCAGTTCAGTGTTTTCCCTGCCTCTACAGCTGCACACTTCTTGAATCGTAGCAGTTCATCATAGATGTGTGTATGTTCAACAGGGTATCTCTACAAATACATTTGCTTTGAGATGATAGGCTACATCAATTAGCTTTAATTAAAATGCAGCGTATATGTGTATACATTGATTGCTTGTTATCGAAGTAGAAATCGCAAACAGCCAATCTCTTGTACACTTTTTTATGAATCGCCCTGTATAAATATATAAATTGCTCTGCCATCTAAAACCACGTTTAGAATCATCAAAATATATATCATATATATCATATCTGGTTAAATAAAATCAGAAAAGCGTTCTTAATGCAGCAATAAAACATGACAAAGTATACATTTTCACATATTCTTAAAGCAGAAAACGTCATTTTGGCGGCCATTTTGTTTTTGCTTATAATCACAAATTGCTAAAGGCGATATGATGATAGGCGATATCAATTAGCTTCAGTTAAAATGCAGCTTATATATATATCACAAAATATGTTGCCAGAATGTGTATACATTGATTGCTTGTTATCGAAGTAGAAATCGCAAACAGCCAATCTCTTGTACACTTTTTTTATGAATCACCCTGTATAAATAATGTATAAATTGGGCTCTGCCATCTAAAATAATATTTAGAATTATCAAAATATGTATCATATATATCATATCTGGTAAAAAAAGTCAGAAAAGGGTTCTAAATGCAGAAATAAAACATGACAAAGTATACATTTTCACATATTTTTAGAACAGAAAATGCCATTTTGGCGGCCATTTTGTTTTTGCTTATATCTCAAATTGCTCAAGGCTGACGGAGCTCCAATTTTTTGCTTGTTCATAGTGGATACCTAGACAATCATAATCCATTAAAAAAAAACTTATTTTCACCAAAACAAGGTTAAGCCCTAAATCCAGGTTTGGCTGCCGGACTACATGGGAGTTAACACATATAAACCTCCTCAATACAAAAATAAAAGGAAGCTTTTTTGCCTTCATTCAGGTTTTCATATACGATAAAGAGGAATATAATTGTTCTTTCAGTATAAACATAGGCTATTCAAAAGCTTTCAATAATTTCACTTTCCATTTCAAGATGCTGGCAGATGAATGAGAAGGACAAAAAGATTATAAAAAACAAACAACAAACAACAAACATTTCAGGAATCTACCAATCAATTATAAATCCACAACTGAAAAAAACAAAAACAAACAAAGACATTGCTTACTTTTGTAAGTCGCTGGATATTCTTTCGATAAAGTGATGACACCACTTGTTTGCCTAGGCCCATGTTCTGGCCCTTCAAGGGGGAAAGAAAATAACAAGATTTATAAACATTGTATAAATGATAAATACTGATAACAAATACACCAAGTAAATAAGAAACAGAAATGGATGTGGGCCCAGCGGAAGGAGGTAAACACAGATTTGGTTAGATTTTTCAATTTGTTTATTTTTGTCATAGAGAGGTACATGTAAGATAAAAAAGTTATAAAGTAATCTACATGTATTTGGAAGACAGAAGGTTGTTGTTACTATTCAAAGGCATAAGTTAATACCATTCTAGCTCCAAACAGATGATATTAGGCATATCAGTCACGTATTAACAGTCCTTGTACTTTGTTATTGACAAAGATGAAAAATCATAGGTTGCTGGGAACAATTGAAACGGATTACGCATTGTTTACTCAAGAAGATTATATTTTTATTACTGTGACTCTACATGCTTCTGGACGGCCCTTCAGATTTTTATGAGCCATAAATATTTAAATGTGCTCCTCTAGGGAAATGAGATTTTTTATAATACTAGCCTGCTTAATGATACAAACATTTTTTATCATAAGCTATAAAGCCATATGACCTGCTACGCCTACTTGAAATCATAAATTTCTACCTCTGATGAAATTTAGGGTACTTTTGTTATTAAAAGGTCCTTTTCTTTTTGCCACATTATATCTTATTGAGCCTTTCAAGAATGTTACTTACTCTATTGAGCTGATCAGAATGTTTTTCTAGAACACTGCTCACATCAGATGGGTTGTTGGTTGAGTAAGAGTTGGCAATCTCTATGTACAGCTGGCTCAGTGGCTGAAAAAAGGGCAAAAGGTACATGACGGACAAAAAAGTACAGTGTCTAATTTGTAATCATTTTTCACAATGCAGTTCAACTGATTACTGGCCTTTCCCATTTGATCCCCAAATTAGCTTGCCTCAACTGGTACACCAAAGACACCAATGATAACATTTCATCTTTAAGCTGAACACAATCTTATTCAGTATAACAAAGATAAAAACATACATTAAACTAATCAAAAAAATTATATTTGCATTAATAATATCTTTAAAGATGTTTTTTGTATCAAATGCTTTATAATCAAGATGTAATATGATTATTTTTTTTCCCTTATCAATGCTCAACCTTATCTTTAATCATGTACTCTGCCGTTTAAAAAAATGAATTATATCATGATGATTGTACATATAGTAGGCCAGTATATTGAACTCCGCTTCCTACATTGAATTTCAATATTTTTTATCAAAACAATGCGATTTGCAACATTTCATTTTTTAATTGGACCCATATTGAAGTGTATTGCACATTCCAAAATTGCAAGTGGGGCATCATTGTAAAGGGGAAAGCAGCTTTACATTGAAACAGAATTCAAGCATGATAATATAGTAACAAGAAAGATATCAACGCTCAAACATGAACTGCAGACTGTTGTGTTTGAGAAGCTTATCTTAATTTGTCTGATGGTTTTAATATGATTGAGATTGAGATTGAAAAGGTTTTATTAATTGCACTTCGCAGCCAGATGGCTGAATTATGAACAATTTACTTTGGCAATAAATTATAATACATACAAATTTGGTTTGACATTCTCACAAAGTATAATATACAATATATAACAAAATTCATAACAAAGTTCATAACTAATATGACTAAGGCAATAACAGGCAAATTAAGTCATGTTTAAAATATATTTTGTGAGGTGACACAAGAGTGGGTCAAAGGATGAGCAAGCAGGCCCTTTGCTCTTCAATACACGCTCTCATTCCTATACACGCTCCTATTCTCACTCCTGTACCTTGGACACTCTCATAAACACTCGCATTTACACTCTTATACACACTCCCATTCACACTCCCATACACTAGCTAACGGTCTGCTCGCTCATCCTTGGACTTCTCTTGTGTCAAGGAGTGTCGGGAATTTCAAAAAAAATAAACAACAACTAAACAAGTAAGCTCCGTCCCGACTTTCGTACATTGGGGAAAAATAAGCAAATGAATTAAAAACTTGAACACCATCTGATCTGAATTGCCATGTCATGATTGCTACAAAACCTTATCACTATTCAATGTACATTTTAAAAAGCTTTATTTAATAGAAATAAAGCGATTGTGAAAGGGCTGCAACTATATGGAAATCATTCATATAAAGAAACCAAGGCTCGGCAGAATTACAGCTAGTACAGCCAACCTCAAACCTCTTCTTGAAAAGTGAATTTATAGTAGAAATGTGTAGTAAATGCCTTCATGCGTGCATGCACATGGTCACATACATGTACCATACATCTACGGTGTACATGTAATAAGTAATGATATGATAGAGAACTCTGACCTCATCATAATGTTTAAATAAAAAAAATAAAAAATGTGAAGTGGAATAAAAAAAGAAATCAGGCAAGCAGTAAGAAAACTTTTCCCTGATTAATTATGAAGTTATGAAAATTGCTATTTATACAAATTGTCAAATGAATCATGAGTTTAATAACTTAGGAACATCATTAGTTGCTATAGTATTAATCAGTTCTTAATAAATATGTTCCTTATATGCATGTAATGTCCCACAGAAACAATGAAAAACTGTTTTCCTGAATGAAGGCACCTTCATAAAAGCAGTATATTCTTTATAAAATATTCATATACTACCCCATTTTTCTGTTTCCATAAAAAAAAAAAAACTTATTCTAAATGAGTGAATATAGGCTAAAACATGGTTAAAAAACAAGAAATTTAAAAAAGGCATGAGGAAGTCACCCTCCAAAAAAGGAGGGAAAATACAAACTTGTAAATGATTTGCCAATTATCACGATATTGATTTTGAATATCATAATTTTTTTTATTTGTTGTCTGGTTTTCATCAAACTCTTTAAAACAAAATAGTTTAACTGCCTTTGCAATACGATATTATCTATTTTAAAAATACAGTTGTCCAAGAACTTAACACTTTTATAAACGTTATATTCCTTGAGGTTTAAATAATTATTCTCTTTAAGACGGTACTATTTATCACCTGCTCTATCCTACACACTAAGAAAAAATGGTGCAAGTATGCACCTTTAGGGGTGCAAACCGATGCAAATGACTGGCAGCACCTTTAGGGGTTAAATCCTGTACCCTTTAAAAGGGTGCCAGATTGAACCTTTTAGGGGAAATAGTACCCTTTATGGTTCATTCCTACACCTTTAGGGGTGCAAACCGATGCAACACTAGCAGCACCTTTGTGGGTTCAATCCTGTACCCTTTAAGTAGGTGCTAGATTGCACCTTTTAGGAGACATGTTAGTACCCTTAGTGGTTCAATCCTGCTCCATAAAGGGGTGCAGACCGATGCAATAGCAGCCCTTTAGGGGTTCAATTCTGCACCGTTTAAAAGGTGCAATCCTGCACCCATACTCGAGGAATACTCGTGAAATTTGCTCGTACACAAATACATATTAAACATGCATGTTGTTTCTTGGTTAGTAATCATACAATCAATATATCTATTGCTAAAACATGATCAGACAAAATAATCTATTGGTTAATGATTGCCGAAGGAAAATGCAAATCACACAAATTGATGTGCATTGTCATAATTTGCTAAATGTATTTTGATGTGAACACGTGTAAAGTAATCATGAATATGCATGCAATATGCAAACCTTTATTTTGCACCCTTTTTTGCAACCTTTTTTCTTACAGTGTATTGACACCTGGTGCTCCCAAAACTAAATTGACAAGCCTTAATCTCAAGCCATGAACATGGATAGGGGTCAAAATCCATGTTTGTTTAGTTTGGAGAATAGTTTTTTCTGGACTTTACACTTTTATGTTATATTTCAATCCTTATTCTCTCTCAAAGACGGTAATATTAATCATCTGCTCCATTCTATTGACACATGGTGCTACAGCAAGTGTTTTGTCTTACCAATAACACATTTACAAGCCTTTATCAAAAGCCACGTAGAACATGTTAATGAACCAGGGAGAGATCTCCCTGCATGAACTTGGATTAGGTCCAAATTTATGTCTGAGTCCTCAAGTATTTACTTTACACCCTGCATGACGAAGGTAAAACTCCATGATTTTTTTTGTTTATTTAAAATGGATAGTCGATTCAGGAGAGGGGGGAATTCACACAATAATTAATGAATTAATGTATATCCCCCATGTATACATCATACGCTACCGCTTTTTCGAACCCTTTTTCATGTAGGTGTAACCATCTATTTCTCAGCAAACATTTCCTATCAACTTGATGTCTTTATATATGTGATTAACAATTACCATTAAGGTATCAAACATCTTTAGTCTGCACAGGGATCTGTACTACTAATTGGAGGAGAGAATGAATTGTCGTGATGGAAGTGTGACAACAATTAAAGAATACAGGTAAATGATTGTACTATCTATTCTCATCAATCACAGCTATTTTCTTTTATGAATGTAGTTTGGATTCAAAATGCTTTAAATACATGTTGATATGAATTTCATTTCTTTAAAATTTTGCACTGAATAATCATATTGCCAAAATATTGCATAAAAAGTATGACATATAAATTCACTTTCTTCATATTGTAGTCTCCAAAAATACTGATACATGGCAGTTAAAAAAATATACACCAATTGACTTTATACAATTCATGAAAAGAGACTAAATGTGAACTGGCAATAAAATTGATAACATATGAAATAATAATTCATATTTTGTATATTTTCCTATGATGCCTTGGTTTAGTTCTTGGTGCCATACATTATTAAACACCATTGTCTTTAAAGTATTTGGCCGAACTCCATAATATAGTTGGTTCATTCCCATGAAATGGGAGGAGATGGATTTTTGCATAAAGCCTAGGTGATCATCTGCTCGAGTTCTCACATTTAATATTTTTAGTTTAAGCTGCAGATCACCTCTTGATTTCGTCAGAATATTTCTTCCTTATTCATTACTTCTGTAAGTTTTTTTGTGGTCAGATTTTCTGAAAAATGCACCATCCAATCACCATCAATCTTCCACCACTGATTCCCCTTGGTTAGGAATAGAAAACCTCCTCCTCTCAGTGTGATCACTTAACCATGACGTCATCTAGGCGCCATCCCCCACCCCTCACCCCACTCCCAGCCTATTTAGGGTTAAGGTGTAAGCTCAACCATTATAAGATTTGCTTTATACTGACAAACAGTTGTGAGGAGCAACCAAACTTGTTGACAGGACATCCCTCGACATATCTTTATTAAAGGGGACTGAATCAGCTGGAATTCTGCTTAACATGTTGAAGGCAATGGTTTTCGCAAATCTAATCCAAATATAATTCAATAGATAAATTATTCTTTTAGGCATATATTTCAGTGGTTTTAAGCACAAGATATTGTGCATTTAAAAAATATTTGAAAGATGGGTTTTCTTTTTTAAATGCTTAGTATTTCATGTAAGATGTTGAACACATGCTTCATGATAACATTCCTACAGGCTTGCAGCTCGAAAATCAAACTGAACATCTACATCTAACTCACTGCGGGTGCTGCACTGCCTGCACAATAGCTTAAGAAACATAGTTGGGAAGCCAAAAGGAAGTCACTGAGATAAACGTGGATAGGCATACAGCGAGAGTCAGCTCATAAATATACCTATACCATGCACTGATGAAGGCACCCTTTAAAGCAGAAGTGGATTTACTACTTTGAACAGACAGTTACGTTGACCTGAACAGGGAAGTCATCTTGCAAATTAAAGGAGTTTGCATCAATGCGTGTCTAAATGTCAATAGACAGTGACAATATTTTGAATTGGACAAGATTGATTTTCAGCATCTTGCTGAACATAACTGGACAAACTTTGTTTGAATCTTTGCCAGCAAATACAGAACTCCATCTTCAAAAACTTAGATTCAGTGCTTGATCTTTCTTTGATACAGTTTTGTCTTGAATAATCAAATCCGTACAAAAGTTGTTGTTGTACTAGTCTTGAGAAGCAATAAGTAAAGATGAGTTTTCCAGTGATTTTCATATTCATTGTATTTGCCATGTGTAACATGTGTAAATCTGAAGATCAATTCAAAGCTGTTATAGAAGGTGATGAGGTAGAACTTGATTTTCCATATCCATGTAACCGTACAAGAGTAACACTACAGTATGGAAGGAGAGTCCCTTTTTACACATTGGCAGATACAGAATCTATCTCTTTACCACCTTTACAAGTACACAGATTCACTTTCAAGAATGGAAGTGAACATGATCATTGTTCACTGCATGTTAGAATTAACCCTGTAATGAGAATTGATGCAGGTACATACCTTTTCTTTGTCTTTAGTGAGAATGATATAAATTTCGAAAGTTCACTTACAAGGATTAGATTGGATGTTGAATTTCTGCCTGGTAAACCATCATGCACAATGGGTGAAGAGAGCACGGTTGGGAATTTGGTAGCACTGAACTGCATCGCTTCAGTCGGGAGTCTTTTAGGTCAAATTGATTGCTATCAAAATGGAGAGAAGATGCCTTCAATTAAACCCCCTACTGAAACCCATAAACATTTGAAGCAAAGCATACTTGTAAATAATAAACACCCAGTGTTTTGTTGTACTGCTACCTGGGAGAACACTAAAGATAGGTGCGATTGTAATGATTTTCAATGGGACCTAGCCAATGACAAAAACCTGAGCGCAGTCATAGATCCATGTGGTCCTACCACATCGCCGCATGATATGATAGAAACCAGTGAGACTGATTTCACTCCCTCAAAAGCAGTATCCACAACAGCAACAACTATCAAGATGAATTTGAACAATGGTTCAGTGCCACAGACATATGTGGTTGTTGTTTGCGTTTGGTCTATTCTCATGACCGGT